GTGTTTCGTCTAGTTGGTCCCACGACACCTCCAGGAGGCTAGACAGTGATCTCTAGCGTCCCAGAGACACTCCCCTAATGCCAGGTCTCACTGCTCCCCTCCCTGCACCAACCCAATAACCTCCTTTACCTTACTTGCGCATGGCTTTCTCAGCCCAAACAGCACTGCCACCTTCAACCAAACCCAGGCTCCGTACATGCGAGCTCTAGGTAGAAGCAGGGCTGATACTACCTTTCCTAGCACATTCACCATACTCTATTTCACACGCTACATAGCATAACTCCAATATAAGCTAAAGTTAAAGGAGCTAAATAAACTTACAGGATCAGCAAACACACTCACCTTGCTGCATGGCCTTAAACAAAATGGATTCAAATAGGCCACTCCCACACTTAAATAACCTTCCTCTTCCTGGACTTCCTCCTTACTTACACATGGCTTTCTCAGCCCAAACAGCACTGCCATCTTCAACCAAACCCAGGCTCCGTACATGCGAGCTCCAGGTAGAAACAGGGCTGATACTACTTTTCTTAGCACATTCACCATACTCTATCTCACACGCTACATAGCATAACTACAATATAAGCTAAAGTTAAAGGAGCTAAATGAACTTACAGGATCAGCAAGCACACTCACCTTGCCGCATGGCCTCAAACAAAATGGATTCAAATAGGCCACTCCCACACTTAAATACTTCCTCTTCCTGGATTTCCTCCTGAGAGGAAGTGGATCTCTCCACCTGATCTCAAGGAGTTATGTGCCCTGTTTAGTAGTTCCCCCTGCTGGCCCCCAACTGACATTACTTCTTCTCTTATAGATAAACTGGCTACATTTAATTGCTTCATCTGACATTTCCCTCACTGTCTTCCTCAAACTCTGTCCCCGCACTCTGAGTTCCCCCAGGAGCGAGACAGCTGATCTTGCTATGAATCCCCTACACCCCACTTCCACTGGACAAATCCTAGTCTTCCATCCTCGCTGCTCAGCTTCTGCTCCTAAGTCTGCATATCTAAGCTTTTTTCTTTCATAGGCTTCTTCCACTGAGTCTTCCCAAGGAACTGTCAGCTCAATGAAATAAACTATCTGTTGACTCACTGACCACAACACTAAGTCAGGCCTCTGCCTGGTACAAACTATTTCCTGGGGAACAACAAGCTTTCCCCCTAAATCTACTTGCATTTCCCAATCACAAGCACCTTCTAGGCGGCCACACCCTTGCCTCTTCACTAACTTATCTCGTCTGCGTTTCTCTCCCTCACGGACAAACTGAATTACTAAACTCCCATCCTTAACACCTTCTGAATTCACCTGTCTTCGTTTCCCTTCGATGCCTGCAGCTAAACATTTCAACACCTGATTATGTCGCCATGTATATCGGCCTTGTGACAAGCTAACTTTACAGCCTGACAAAATATGCTTTAAGGTTGCGGTACATGAACACAATGGGCATGATGGGTCCTCATTTACCCACAGTTTTAGGTTCTGGGGGGTTGGTAACACATCGTATGTAGCCCCTACCAGGAATCTAATACGATTCTCCTCCATACTCCACAGGTCCCTCCAACTGAGCTTCCTCTTCTCTACACTTTCCCAATTCAACCACTGTCCCTGTTTAGCCTGGGCCACTACCTTTGCACCCCTTAGCATCTCTTCCTGTCTACGTATCTGTTCTACAACCAGCTTTCTTTTATCTTTGAGACCTGCTTTATTCCATACCGGTTTGCCTGAGCCAAGCCCCAGGCCTCCCCGGCCAAACTGAACATTACCTACAATCTCTGCATGCCTGAGAGCTGCCTCTGCCTCCTGAACTGCCGATCTTGGGTTCCACTTCCTCCCCTTGGTTGGATTTGGAACCACACTCCTAACTATCACGTCCTTACTCCATGATCTCTCAGCCAATCAGGATGCCACTGCAAAATTTTAAATCTGCTCTCTCTTCTGCTGATGCCAGCCATCAATTTAGGCAGAATCTTCACACCCTCCTCCACCCCGTTCACCTCCAGCCATCGTATCCAGAGTCCAGGACAAGCTCTCAAAGACTCATTCCTCCTCTCATCCAGATCATCGGCACTTTTCCATCTTCCTCTCATCTCATCTTCACCACCTCTACCACCACCAGCGTCTAGACCCCGTGGGGGGGGGGGGGGTCCCTATTCGACTATGGATTCATCACCCTCCTTAAACCAAACCATCTCTACGGGGTCTAATCGCCAAAGACTTTCCACATTCTTATTCATACGTTCACATGTTAATAAATATTCTTTTACCATAAAAACAAGTCTCTCCTGATTTAATTGTATTTGCAGTTTGTTTCTGCATTTTGTTGTGTTTCTGTATTTTAAGCACTATTTTGTATTTGTTTGTGATGTCTGTATTTGCTGTGCCATTCTGTATTTGGCTGTGTTTGTTGTATTTGCAGCGCATTTCTGTATTTGGTAGTGTTTTCTCTGTGCAGTGCATGTCTGCATTTTGTTATGTTTTCTGTATTTGCAGCGCATTTTTGCATTTTGCTGTGTTTTCTGTAGTTGATATGTGGCGTGTTCCAGTATTTGGTTGGGTTTTTAGTATTTGCAGTGTGCTTCCGCCTTTTGTTGTGTTTTCAGTAGCTGCAGTGCTTTTCTGCATTTTGTTGTGTTTTCTGTATTTGCAGGGCGCTTCGGCATATGTTATGTTTTAGATATTTGTAGTGCGTTTCTGTACTCGGCTTTTTTCTGTATTTGCAGCGCAGGTCAAGCCGAGTACATGTGTATGGAAAATGGCTATTGGATGCTGACAGTTAGCAAGCTTGCTTGCTCTTTCATCAGCTACAGTAGTTCACAAACAAGCTATTTGAGTTTTACATCACCAGGCTTCCAGCCTGTTGTGACCATGGCTAAGTGTCAAATAGTTTCTTCCTTTCGTTAACTGAACTTTGGCTTGTTCAAAACTGTTGCTATTATAGTATCACCTACTCACAAAGTCGGCATCATGATCACCAAATAATCAAGTTATTTCCAAAAGAATTGTAGCTGATGGGATGCAAATGGCTTAAAAAACATTAATTGGTGCTTCCCTGTGTGCTGTTTCCAGTTTATTGAATACAATTTTCACTTTTGAATAAATGTTTCTAAAGCTATGACAGCCTATGTGTGCAGGGATGTTTGTCCTTGCAACCTTACCTCTGCATGTCACTCATCCCTGGTGTACCATTATTTTAACAAGGACGATGTGAAATATACCTCTCCTGCTCTGTTTTTGTAATTTATGTGACTTTTCTCCAGGGCCAACACATAAATGAAATACCCGGTTTCACAAGTGTAAATCCAGGAAAGAAAAACATATTGCTCTATTCACCAAGGAGCTGCAGTGAAAGCAGGCCCATTTTGTTGACAGGCCGTAGTCATAAGATTTGAGGCAAGTGATCAGGTCCTGCACACTTGATCTGTTGCTAATAGCAAGTCATGTTGGAAAAATGACTTACATTAAAAGAAAACCTAACAACATCGTAAATGCGACTGTACAGGCCTACAAGAATTTTCTATGACAGAATGAGTAGCATCTTTGACTCACAACATGTGGTGGTTCTGTGCATGGATTGACATATATTTGAAATACAATAATGAAAAAACAGAGCTCCTTTTAGCTTGTAAAGCATAGAATTTTCATGACGCTGGGCCACAACTGCCATTGTGGTCATGTGGTCATGGATAGATTACTGAATAGGCCAACTGCACACAGGCCCAGGGCCTTTAAGACAAGAGACAGACAGCAGATGATGGCGAGGTAAACAGTGCACACATTACACTGCTTAAATTGTGTCTGAAAAGTGTGTGTGTGTGTGTGTGTGTGTGTGTGTGTGTGTGTGTGTGTGTGTGTGTGTGTCTGTGTATGTGGCCTGATAGTAGCATTCAAAATGTTACTCAGGTTAGGGGCGTCGGTGGCTTAGTGGTAGAGCAGGCGCCCCATGTACAAGGCTGTTGCCACAGTGGCCCGGGTTCGACTCCATCCTGTGGCCCTTTGCTGCATGTCACTCCCTCTCTCTACCCCCTTCACACTCATCTGTCCTATCAATTAAAGGCTTAAAAATGCCTGAAAAAATATCTTTGAAAAAATGTTACTCAAGTTAAAGTATTAGCCTTAAAATATACTTAATGTTATATTTGTGATGAACTGTTCTGAAACAATGGCTTTACAGTAATAAAGGCTAGATTATTTTCAGCACTGTAAATTTCTTTATTTCACTTCTCATTACAGAGGATAATTGAAGGGGGTGGGTCCATGGGTTGGGACTTGGGTTGGGAACTGGAGGGTCACCAGCTCAAGCCCCCACACAGGCCAAGCCTCCATGGGCATACCCCTCACTCTGACATCTCTCCATTTAACGCGTGTTTAGGTCTTGTTTGTGCATGTGTGCATGTGACAACAGAGTGAAAAAAATGAATTTCCCCCTCGGGCATTAAAAAAGCCATCTTCTAATTCAAACAACAACCTGGTTCAAATTCATGGCTAAAACACATTATTGGTATTGATGAGCACTAATATAGATGTGGTATTGATTTCAAAATGGATTTGGTATGTGTATCTTTAAAAAAAAAAAAAAAACACAAAAAACCTAAAGAGTTTTTAATCTTTTTTTGTGATGGGGTTACTTGTCACAATGTGTGACAGTGGTGAATTTCGTCTTGTTACAATAAGTTGTAAAAATGAAAAGGATATCCATTCCATGCCAAGACTTTAAGCTTTTTATTTAATTTAGGAATGACTATTGAAAGATGTTTTGATGATGAGCAATTCACACAAGAGCAAGTGTGACTACCAACCCCGGTCTCCCCGAACTCTGAGGACCCTCTAGGAGGTCACGGACCCCCTGTTTAAAACCATGTATTAGATAATGACACTCAAAAATAGGCTAAATAAAAAAAATAAATAAATAATAAAATGGGCTTTTCGAGCTGTTCCTGAACGCATCGTAACAGAGTGTATTGCTGGGCGCTCCTGCGAGCAGAGGATATCCACATGGACCTTCCTCCTTTAGCAGATAGCAGTGAAATCCTTCACTCCTCAGTGTGCTCTGTGCTGGGAAGGACCGCAGTGTGACAGGATGGAGGACATCTGCTGTGAACTGTCTGCGCTGGCTGCTTCATTGGCTGTTAGTTATGTGGAAGTTCTGCGCGTCTTTTGACAAGAACTCCACAGTCGAGGGGGATGATAGACAGACCTCCGTGTAGTTTCATGCACATTTGAAACTTGTGAAGGTTTTTAACATGCAGAGTGTGCTGTAAAACCGAAACACCAGCCGATCAGGAGGTGTATCAGGTTCCACGTGGATTAATCGACAGTTTCCTCCCCTCTGATGTTTTTTTTTTCTCCGCAAACCGCGGAGTTGTAGGTGGACTGTGTGGTTCGAGAAAAGGACCGAAAACGATGCGAACCCGATTTCCAAGTGCTGCTGTTCCCCCTGAATATGTGCGACACGTTACCGCCCGCATACACCGCCCCACCGACCGACACTAACCGCACCTGGAGCTCTGAATCGGGCTGAAACATGTTTATCCTGTGGGTCCCGCTTAGTTTATTCCTCAGCTTCATCATTTCCCAGACATGGAGCGTTCAGATGTCGTGGGAAAACTGGAATGCCGAGTTGCGCAACCGAGGGAACGAGTTTAATAAGCCCAACTCTCCGCCTCACATCGTTTTTATCCTCGTGGATGATCAGGGCTTCCGGGACGTTGGGTATCACGGCTCCGAGATCAAAACCCCGACTCTGGACCGGCTGGCAGCGCAGGGAGTCAAATTGGAAAATTATTATGTGCAGCCGCTTTGCAGCCCATCCAGGAGCCAACTCATGACCGGCAGGTAGTGCTCTAGTTTCCTAACTCTGGTCCCTGTACTTCACATCTTAATGGAGTTTACCGGATGAAATAGGCCTATCTGATAGACGGATTCCAGGCAGACTGCCATGCACCTGCAGGGGCTCTCTGAAATTGGGAGAAAAGCTTGGACAGCCTGTAGTCAGCTAAAAGAGTACAGGTTATCATCCATCTGACTGTGCCAAGTCTGTTAATTCTTATGCAATGATTAATCTCTTTTAATGTGAGATTAGACAGTTATGACATGGCGTGATCAGATCTCTTCGTTGGTGTCAGTAATGATGGGAAGCAGAAATGAAGTCAGTAAAATGTGCATGCAAGTGTGAGATGAAAACATGGGTTTAACCATGACATCCTCATTCTCATATTTCTAAGCTTTCAATATTATGACAAAATGAACAAAGACATAAGATATAAGTCAGTGGTAGCGCTATAGTGAACACCACGACGTTATACAGATGTAACTATGTTTTTTGCACTACTGTTGTCAAATAGAAGCCAATAGGTCAAATGTTGGCGATCAGGCTCTACCGTCCATTTGCAATCCACAGTTTAAAAAGAAGACGAAGAAGATGCGGTACAGTACAGGCCAAAAGTTTGGACACACCTTCTCATTCAATGCGTTTTCTTTATTTTCATGACTATTTACATTGTAGATTCTCACTGAAGGCATCAAAACTATGAATGAACACATGTGGAGTTATGTACTTAACAAAAAAAGGTGAAATAACTGAAAACATGTTTTATATTCTAGTTTCTTCAAAATAGCCACCCTTTGCTCTGATTACTGCTTTGCACACTCTTGGCATTCTCTCCATGAGCTTCAAGAGGTAGTCACCTGAAATGGTTTCCACTTCACAGGTGTGCCTTATCAGGGTTAATTAGTGGAATTTCTTGCTTTATCAATGGGGTTGGGACCATCAGTTGTGTTGTGCAGAAGTCAGGTTAATACACAGCCGACAGCCCTATTGGACAACTGTTAAAATTCATATTATGGCAAGAACCAATCAGCTAACTAAAGAAAAACGAGTGGCCATCATTACTTTAAGAAATGAAGGTCAGTCAGTCCGGAAAATTGCAAAAACTTTAAATGTGTCCCCAAGTGGAGTCGCAAAAACCATCAAGCGCTACAACGAAACTGGCACACATGAGGACCGACCCAGGAAAGGAAGACCAAGAGTCACCTCTGCTTCTGAGGATAAGTTCATCCGAGTCACCAGCCTCAGAAATGGCAAGTTAACAGCAGCTCAGATCAGAGACCAGATGAATGCCACACAGAGTTCTAGCAGCAGACCCATCTCTAGAACAACTGTTAAGAGGAGACTGCGCCAATCAGGCCTTCATGGTCAAATAGCTGCTAGGAAACCACTGCTAAGGAGAGGCAACAAGCAGAAGAGATTTGTTTGGGCCAAGAAACACAAGGAATGGACATTAGACCAGTGGAAATCTGTGCTTTGGTCTGATGAGTCCAAATTTGAGATCTTTGGTTCCAACCGCTGTGTCTTTGTGAGACGCAGAAAAGGTGAATGGATGGATTCCACATGCCTGGTTCCCACTGTGAAGCATGGAGGAGGAGGTGTGATGGTGTGGGGGTGTTTTGCTGGTGACACTGTTGGGGATTTATTCAAAATTGAAGGCACACTGAACCAGCATGGCTACCACAGCATCCTGCAGCGACATGCCATCCCATCCGGTTTGCGTTTAGTTGGACAATCATTTATTTTTCAACAGGACAATGACCCCAAACACACCTCCAGGCTGTGTAAGGGCTATTTGACCAAGAAGGAGAGTGATGGAGTGCTGCGGCAGATGACCTGGCCTCCACAGTCACCGGACCTGAACCCAATCGAGATGGTTTGGGGTGAGCTGGACCGCAGAGTGAAGGCAAAGGGGCCAACAAGTGCTAAACACCTCTGGGAACTCCTTCAAGACTGTTGGAAAACCATTTCAGGTGACTACCTCTTGAAGCTCATGGAGAGAATGCCAAGAGTGTGCAAAGCAGTAATCAGAGCAAAGGGTGGCTATTTTGAAGAAACTAGAATATAAAACATGTTTTCAGTTATTTCACCTTTTTTTGTTAAGTACATAACTCCACATGTGTTCATTCATAGTTTTGATGCCTTCAGTGAGAATCTACAATGTAAATAGTCACGAAAATAAAGAAAACGCATTGAATGAGAAGGTGTGTCCAAACTTTTGGCCTGTACTGTATATATATAAAAAGCCGTTATCACTTTCAGTAATTGCAAAATGGCACCACATAAGTACATAGTGTACTACATTGTAGTGTACTAACGGATGTTTGTGATTTGAGACACAGTGATAGTCTACACTGCTACCTGTAGCTACGTGCCAATATCAGGGAAACGCAAACGCGGTTGCCAATGTTTCAAATTTCTCCTCGATTTCAGATCCAGTTTGTGCTGCGACATGTCCAGTTCTGTTTATATGCTTTTATTGGTGATGTTTTACAGTAGAAAGTGCTGTTATTCCCAGGTATAGGCCTTCACTGGCTGCACATACACTGCTAACATCTACATTTCTCTAACGTTAGGAAAATGTAATCTGTGTTGTCAGTGTTGGAATAAGTCAGTGGCAGGAAGATGAGGTCATCAAGTAGTCATATCTGATTTATCTCAAGTATTGATTTAGTAGTCAAACTAATTAGAGATAAAGTATTTGATAATCAAATAATGAGGTGTTTAAATAGTGTCAGCTGGGATAAACAGCTACAGATAAAGAATGGATGGATGTCTCCTGAGAGCTGTATCTCATTTTCATCCAGTATGTTTCATCCAAGGGATACATGATAATATCGGCACGTCATCAGTATCGGCTGATACTAGCTTTAAAATGATCTATCAGAATTGGCCAACATGCTTTTTCTTATTTTGCACAATGAATGAATATTACATAAAGACACATTCTATTTCATTCTCCATCTGCTGGTGGGCCATCAGGATAAAAGTATGCATGTATAATATGATGTTAATGTTATACTACAGAAGAGACTTGATGATCACTAAAATTAGCTGGGGAAAAAAGTTGTTATACCAGATATCGGCAAAAAAATCCAATATTATGGATCCCTATTTCATCCCTGGGTGGCTGCAGCATTGCTATAGACCATGGTTATAAACCCCCTGCTGTGTTCCAAGGAAAATCATGGTTTATGACAACCTGGATTTAATGTTTTATTTTATGTGGCATCAATTATATTGATACCGTCAAAGCAGGGTTTCCCTGGGAGATTGGATAGCTAATAGATAATAATAGATAGATAATTGTGTTTCCACCTATGCTGATTGTAGACAGTTTAGTGATATTTCTTATTTTTTATTTATAATTTCTTTTTATCATATTTCTATTGCTGTTGTTTTGCTGCCTTGTTTTTAACTTATACCTTTATTGCCATGAATCTGAGAGCTGCTACCTCAATTTTGTTGTACTCTGAAACATCCATGTTTTCACAGACATTGATGTAAACTGTAAGAGAAACTTGAGTGGTGTGCTAAGGCATATAGGCCTAACTGGGGGGCGGTAATTCTAGTTTGTCAAAGGAGTCTGGTGGCTTTGAAGAGAGCATAGATGACGACTACAGTTCCTCATTGGAAATGGCTGTGCGCAAGGTGAGACAGTGAAAATATTCTAATTATAGTGTACATTTAACTGATTTTTTTACGTGGCTAAATACATTTTGCTGCTGCCCCCGTCCACAGCAGTACATATCTTTCATATCTTCCTTGGCAATACTCCATCCTGCTTCTCTAAACTGTGGGTGTGCTGAATGCCATCTACTGTAGGTAATACACAACTATGGATAAGTACCTCATACAACCCCACTTCAAATAGTCCGGACCACCCCTTTAACATGGTGACTGAATGGTTGTCCAGCTTTGTAGTTTGCTTACAGTATGTTTCACATTTGCATTTTCCCTCTTTGTATGTGCAGCTCTGCAGGGTTTCTCCTCCACTGCCTCCACCATCTGTTCCATTCTTTAGAAAAAAGGAGGAAACTTGCTGGGCACTGCTGTTTTTTAGCAGGGGTCTGAGAAAATAATGAGAAAAGTGCAGCCCCCTCCTTGTTCCTCTGCTCTCTGTAAGCTGCTCCAATCGCTGACAGGAGCAACAGACTCAGCTAACATTAGGGGTGTAACAATCCATCGATCTTGATCAATAGATCGATTTAATGATCAACGATCCAATATCATTAAATCCAGTAATATGTCCTGTTGTGACAAGCAGAAAGATTTCAAGGGGGGTTCGGGGGGTGCTCCCCTGAGAAAATTTTGAAATTCACATGGCGAAATCCTATTTTCATGCAATTTCATACAGAAATAGATAAATTCAAGGACTTTCAATGACCTGTGTACAGGGCTGGACTGGGACAAAAAAATGCAGTCTTATCTTATTTCTTATTATTATTAACTTATATAATCATATTTGTACTTGCACACATTTTATTAAAAATTGAAATGATAAATCTTGTAGAGTTTCTTTGTCAAGTGCTTTCACCATAAGCATTGTGTGCTCCGTGGCCATCTACTACCACCAGAATATATATGAGAAGTGAATGAGCACATTGATTTTCTAGCCTTGGTACTCTCTTCCAGGGCACGTAGGGTACTACTGAGATTTATTTTAATTTTGGTAACAGCATAGTATGTGCGTATGGCATTTCACCAATCATAGTGGGTCGCCATGGCCACAAATGCCAGGGCCATTTTTTTGTCCCAGTCCAGCCCTGCTTTATACCTCCAGGGTTTCTGCAAATTATCGCGTGACATTATGATCTCGCGATCCGACAATTCCAGCCGCTCGCATGCGTGCCGCTAAAGTTCCAGTAGACATTGACGGAACGCGCACGCGACGCATCCAGTGGACATCCAGTATGCGGTCCGGGCGCTACCGAAGACATCAAACTACCAGTGAGTCAAACGTCTCTCAGTTCACTTGAAAAGTCACATCCTCCCCAGCGCGTGAAAC